GCGGGTCTCTATGACAGCTGCCGCAATAGGTGATGCAGGACCAATCAGAAAGCCCCTGACTGCACACGTGACATGAATACCTCCCATGCACTCACCCTACAGGGGACAAAGCTGGGAGGTCTCTCTGTGGGAGCCCAGCCTTAGCCTTCCAGGCTGTCTAGCATGTTAGCTCATCCTAGCAGCCTGGATGGTCAACGAGGCTGATCTGCTGTGAGCGTTGCATTAGCAGCTATTTCTAATCAGTCGTTAAACGTTTATTTTTTTAAAACAAAAATTTGTATTAATTGAGAATTTCATATTTATTCTACCTTCTCCCCATAAGTCTTCCCAGCTCCATCTCCACCTTCCTGTCCTCACAACTGTGTGTCCTTTTAAAAAAAAAAAAAATGCAGTAACTCATGAAGTTTAATTGGCACTGTCCAGATACAGGTGTGGGCAATCCACAGGAACATGGTCGACTTGCTAGTGAAAGGACTGGATGGCCAAGCCAGGGCCCTGACAGGCTCCCCTAGCAGCCCTGGCATGGACCACGCCTTAGTTTTGGTTCACTAGAACTGGCTGGAGCTGAGCAGGCAATTGTCAGGAAAACCACAACTTAGGGGCAACCAATCAACAGGTGCCCTCCAGCCTCCTGCCGGCTCAGCAGGCATCCCCAGGCCCCCTCTGCTGGCTCAGAAGCCCCCCCAGCCCCTTCTGCTGGCTCAGCAGATGTCCCCCAGACTTCTGATAGCTAAAAATAGCTTTCCCTACCCTCTCCCACCACCACCACCACCACCACCACCACCAATGGGCCCCTAACCACTACAGCCTCCCACCAATCAACTCCCAGACTAATCTTTCCCCCACCAATCAGCACCAGATTAATCCCTCCTCTCTGGAATTCCCCTAACTCGGCTTAAAAGGAGCTTGTGAGCTATTTGTCACCCCATTATGCTGCAAATAAACGCTCTTGCTAAATTGCATATGTGACTGTTGGTCTTTCTTAGGGGGCTTCTCTCCGACCCTAACAACTAGAAACCACACTTGTAAAGAAAAATGATTCTCCTTCCCCAGAAGCCATCAATTGCCCATAGTTCCTCAGTCGGGGTCGGGGCTCAGGAAACCCTCCCCACTTCTTTCTGGAATGTCCACTGGCTTGATCGTGTGCAAGTCTTGTGCAAGCAACCACAGGTGCTGTGAGTCCTGGGTACGGCCATGCAGCCTTCCTGTCATGCCCAGAAGACACTATTTTGCTCTGGTCCTCTACCACCTCTGGCTCTTATAATCTTTTCCTATCAAAGGTAAGAGCAGAGTGCAAATGCTTTATGGACAAAGCTCTTTGGAGGTGGTGTGGTGATATCAGAGGAAACCTTATCAGGGTTTGCAGATAGAGATCTTGACGAATTCACCCACCTGTCACTCAATTCGATCACCTATTATGGGAAGAAGCTGTTAGAGTTGTTGCCCATATTATCAAGGTATCCCAACACTAAGTAGATTGCTGGCTCCAACCCACAGAAAATAATAAAGCTGCATTGCCTACATGGCCACAGGCAAGAAGGACCCCAGGCAGCCTGGCTTCCAGCTTCCTGGGAGCAGCCAGCACTTGATTTGCAGGCTAAGGCTTCAGTGGAACATGTTTTAATGAGCCCACATTGCAATACCGTGTTTTAAGTGGTAGCTTTTAACTCTTCACAATTATGTCCACTAATTGGAAGCATATGATCAGGCTGGTTGTCTCCCAGCTATAAATCATAACACATATTCATAGTTGCATGAGTTTTACTTCTGTGAAGCAATCCTTATGCAAACAGTAATATTTGGTATGTCATTAGCATATAGAGGCAATTAATTCTCAACATGATCAATGGCGAGAATGTCCTTTCCCTCCATATCTGGTTTATTTATGTGTTCCCATTAATTATGCCTAATTTTCTGTTGGCACTTCTCTTCCTAATGTAATTCAATTTAAGCATATCTTTCTGGAGACTTATTAATAGCTAGGGTCATTTATATTGTGTAGCACAAATATTTTATAATCCACTAATCTTGACAAAAAGGCAATGGCTTCCTAATAAAAAATGTATGAGGAGTAATGGTCCCCTATTAATAACTTATTAGGTCAGATCACACAGTTTGAAGTGTCTATTACACTTTAATTTTATCAGATTTCTTCCTTTGGAATTCACCATGATCGTCTTATCTTTTGATTGCGGTTAGTTTTAGCTGTACTCCTGCCCCAGTGACCCAGGTGATGATCCCTAGCTCTACCCATGCAGTGGAAGGTAAAGGTCTCAGACTTGGGCCCCAGAATTTCCTTAGAGAAAAGAGAAGCCTTCTGTTCACTTTACAGTGCTCATCTTCGCTTACCAGGAGGCTGGTCATTGATCGATGCAGCCTTTCAACAATGGACTCCTTCCCCAGAAAACACACACACACACACACACACACACACACACACACACACACACGAGAGAGAGAGAGAGAGAGAGAGAGAGAGAGAGAGAGAGAGAGAGAGAGAGAGAGAGAGAGAGAGAGAGAAGAGGTCTTATTTCAAGAGATTTGTAGAAATCCCAGAATGGATCTGTAGAATTCACAGGAGTCTGAGCAACAGAATTTATGACCCGAGGTTAAAATCTACTGTCTGTGTGTCCTGATTAATAACGAGAGTCAGGGAAACTCCATTTTCTAAAATTGCTGTGCCATGGTCAGAGTTGAAGTAACCAAATTGCTAGACTTATCTTTTCAAATTATTTAACCTAGGATGATGTCTTAGTGGTTAAGCACTTGTTGCAATGTAGGGACTAGAGTTTGGAACCACAAAGTCCACATGAATGCTGAGTAGGCACTGTGGTCCACCTGTAATTCCATATAGGTCGAGACAGGAAGTTCCTAGAGCAAGCTAGAGAACAAGATGAGCCACATCTGTTAGCCTGGGGTTTGATTGAGAGACCCTGACTCAATGAATAAGGTGGAAGAGAGATTAAGGATGAGTTCCAACTTGGCCTTCCATATGCATGCACACCCATGGACATGTGCAACAGAAGACACACGTGCCCATAAGCACAAAAGCATGCATATACATACCCACAACACACATATATGTAAATAAAAATTAAAGAAGAAATAATTCTTCAATGTAGGCATAAATATATTTCCATCAGCGGATTTGGTGTATATAAACCAGAACCCTTGCCTACTGGTGATATTAGATCTAGAGAAACACATTTTAGATACATGTTAAAAATTCTTCCTGTCGCCTGGCAGTGGTGGTGCACACCTTTAATCCCAGCACTTGGGAGGCAGATCTCTGTGAGTTTGAGGCTAGCCTGGGCTATAGAGTGAACTCCAGGAAAGGTGCAAGGCTACACAGAGAAACTCTGTCTGGAAAAAAAAAATTGTTTCTGTATTTTGGTGAGGGAATTGAGTTGAGTTATTCCAAAATCCCTTTCAAATGTAGTGTCATGTGACTGTGAGTCTGATAGAAATGTGTGAATGTATACGCCTTAGTTAGGGTTTTTATTGCTGTGAAGAGACACCATGATCACGGCAACTCTTATAAAGAAAACATTTAACTGGGGTGGCTTGCTTACAGTTTCAGAGGTTCAGTCCGTTATCATCATGGTGCAGAGCATGGCGGCGTGCAGACAGACGCAGTGCTGGTGCCGAGAGCCTGCATATTGCAGGCAAAAGGAAGTTGACTGACTGTCACACGGAGGGAAGCTTGAGGAAAAAAAGATCTCAAAATCCACCCCCACAGTGACACATTTCTTCCAACAGGAAGGCCACACCTCCTAATAGTGACACTCCTTTTGGGGGGTCATTTTCTTTCAAACCACAACAGTATAAAAGCAAAGCAAAACACCACAACTTTCCCATACCTGTCTATAGGTCACAGAGACTGATTGTGAGGAGTGGCTGGTGGAGTAACCCAAGGAGGAGCCAGGGGAAATGAGATGAGTGACCTGTGCTGACCACCTTGGTCCCCACAATGTTTCCAGTTCTCCACATAAGGATTAGTCAGACTGTGGCTAACAAGACTGGAGGACTACTTACTGCAGTGTGATGCTTACATCATCTTATTATCTGGTAGATAACATGTAGACTACATTACCTCTTTCACAGTGCAGTTCTTTCCTGCAGGCAAACTAAGAATGTCTGTTTTTATTTTTTTTCTAAATTTTTATTACATCTCGTTTATTTATTTATTTATTTATTGTGTGTGTGTGTGTGTGTGTGTGTGTGTGTGTGTGTGTGTGTGTACACACAAGTACACACATACCAGGTTGAACACTTAGAGACGAGAGGACAACTTGTGGGAGTCAATCCTCTCCTTCACCATGCAGTCTCAGGGATTGGACTCAGGTCACCAGCCTTAGTGCCCAGAAGCTTTTCCCACGGAGATAACTCACTGGCCCAAGAACAGACTTGAAGATAGGCGGACAGTATTCATAGCAACTTACGCTGGCTCGGAAACTTTGTGAGAAAAGCTGAAAAGGAATGCTGTGACGGTTAGGCTTCACCGTCTACTCAGCTGGATTTAGAACCTCCTAGAAGACACACCTGGTTTCCAGAGAGGATTAGCCGAGGAGGGAAGACGTGCTAGGGAGCCATTCCACGTGCTGAGGCCTAAATTACAGGCCAGGGGGAAGAGGAGAACCAGCCAACAGCCCACTTCCCAGCTCTCTGCTTCCTGTTCCGCTGAGATGTGAGCATGCCTCTCCATGTTCCTCTCAAATTTAGAGCCAAAATCATTCCATTCTCCTTCAAACTGCTTGTTGTCAGGTGTTTGGTTGTAAGAATGGAAAAGAGACAGAGTCAGGTCCAACATCACGTTCAACACCACATTTGTGCACACGATTAGTATCTCTTCGCCAGGGCACTGCTAATTTGGAATATTACATGGGTCAAACTTCCATGAAAACAGACCCAACTTGTTCTACTATCACGGTGGTTGGGTTTCAAAGAGAAGCCTTTGGCCAAACATTTACCCTAAAATTAATTTCTATATTCTTTAAAGATACTTTATTTTGGTTTATTTCTTTAAAAAATTTTAATATTGTATTTACTGTCTCCATTTTCATTGCAAATATAGGCATCTGAGGCTGGAAATATAGTTCAGTGGTAGAATATCTGCCTACATGAGAAAGACCCTGGGTTCAATCTTTAGCATCACAATAAGTGAATTAGTGAGAAAACAAAAAGCAAGCATTGAATAATAACTATTATGATGTCCTGAAGAATTTATCGAGTTAAGTAAACTGGGTAGTATTCAGTAATATGATGGGAGTCTATTCAAGGTGTGCATATTACAATCGGTGTGTGTGTGTGTGTTTCTTTCCAGCATATTCAGGGAATCATCTTTCTAAGACTCTATCTCTTTGGATTTGGCCCACAATTATCCACACTATTCATTCACTCAAAGAGTAAGAACAGTGGATCTAGGTCACATGATGCAGAGGAAGGGAAGCGAGGTAAGATCTCAGTCCCACGGAAGGGTTGGGACTCCACTCTGAGAGGCGCATCTGTCCCCTGTCGTCTTTCTGGTGACACCAACATGACTCGGATCAGTCCTTTTACCCTTGGAAATGGCTGTTTCTGTGCTCAACTTCAGATAGAGCATACTCACACTCATAATTCATCTCAGGTCTGATCTCCTTGTTTGATATGATGACATCTTTTGTTTAATATAGAGCAATTAAGAAAAGGATAGCAACAATGCACATGTGAGAGCAGGCGGAGAGTCAGAAGACAAGCTATTGACCATGGAGGGAAGAACAGGCTGATTAGCAGACTGCAGGACCTCCAAACAGGGTGACAATTTACCAAGCAAAGGGACAGAGGACATGGAAGGACCAACATACATGCTGGAAAAGGGCAAGTAGGTTCGTTAACAGGAAGACAAGACTGAAGCATGAGATGCACAGAATTCTGACCTAAGAGATGATTTTCATTGTAACCTCTGAAGGTTTGTGGGGCGAATTCTTGCCTGGCCATGCCTTGAAAGAAAAGGAGATTTATCTCCACGATGCTCAAAAGATACTAGGACCAAGTGAAGTTGTTGATCCCATAACAAAGGGAGGGACCTTTTTGTTGTTGTTGTTTTTCGAGACAGAATTTCTCTGTGTAGCTTTGGCACCTTTTCCTGGCACTCACTCTACAGAGTACCCTGTAGGCACTCACTGGAACTCACAGAGATCCGCCTGTCTCTGCCTCAAGAGTGCTAGGATTAAAGGCATGTGCCACCACCGCCCAGCCTGAGGGAGGGCCTTTTGAAAAGCTCAGTGTGGTTGGTCACAGTTCCATGGAAAGAAAATAGTGCTGGGAAAATACTATGAAGAAACAATTTGCTTGGAGGTCAGTAAGGGAGGAAGAGCATGGGAGAGAAACAGAATCCAATGGAGGTTCCAGAGTGATGATGGAGGGGAAGTGAGAGACAGTGATGCCGGAAAAGGGAGTCGGGATACTGCAAAAGAGAGGGGAAGTGGGGTGGGGAAAGACTGTTGGAGGGGAAGGATAGAAAAGGAGGGGAGGAGAAGGGAGGAGAGGGAGGAGAGAGGGAGGGAGAGACCCCCAGATCCAGTCACTAAGACACCTAGTCGGTGTGCTCCAGAGGAGACGCTGCCCGCTTCTGAGGAAACATCCCATGTTCTGCAGCGAAAAATGGTTGCAGCTGGGCCTCAATTGCTTCTCCTGTGCTCGGAGGCCAGTTTAAATCTTCGCAGTGAATAATTGACCCGAAAAGAGGGAGAGCTGTCGATGGACGAACCGTGAAGCATGCCATTGGTCGGAGAACTAAAGACAAAGAGAAGAAAGCAGAAGCAGTCAGTTAAGTAGACCCCAAGGGTCCTGGCTGGCTTTTGCCAGCTCAACGCGCAAGCTCAAGTTATCCGGGAAGAGGAATCTCAACTGAGAAAACACCTGCGTCAGATTACCCGTAACCAAGTACGTGGAACATTTTTCTTGATTAAGGTTGATGTGGAAGCCCAGGGCACTGTCAGCAGGACCACTCAAGGGCAGGTGGTCCTGGGGTGTATAAGAAAGCATGCTGAGTAAGCCATGGAGAGCAAGCCATAGATGGCATTCCTTATGGATTTAGCTTCAGTTCCTGCCTCCAGTTTCTTGCCTTGAGTTCCTACCCTGACTTCCCTCAGCGATGGAGAATCATCAGCTGAAATCAACCCTCCCCCCCCCCCCCCAAACACACACATTGCTTTTGGTCACAGTGTTTTATCACAGCAATAGAAACCCTAATTGAGACAGCAGGGAAAAAAAAGGGGGCAAGTATAGAACCTGGTGTGGGGGGAGGGGAGAAGGGAGGGGGAGGGACTGATGCTGATCTGCTGATCAGTTGAAAGCGGGAAGGCTGGGGACAAGGATGTTTAGCTGACCTTGTAGTTCCTGGGAATCTTTGGGAGGGAATTTTAGAAAAAGAACAAAAAGGCCAATCTATGTAGAGAGAACTCAAGGGATCCTGGCTGGGAGTGTTAACAGAAATCCTCTGTTTTGTTTAAAAGAATAATGTGTTAGAAGAAGGAGCATGATTGGCCAGTAGTAACAACCAGGAGGCAAGGAAATTTTTTCTGTACTTTTCTCACAGCCTTGAAGATATGGAGCTTGAAAGTGGGTACCAAGTGAAACGTGAAGCGCTGTGGGTGGAGACGAGACTCTGACAGACAGCGTAGGGAGCATAAGGAGAAGCCACACTAGGTTAGGTGTTGATGAACTTGTTCCCTGGGGAATAAAGGTAGTCATTATTGCAATGTCCCATGGCAGTACCTCTGAGAGCTGGGAGGAGGAGAAGGTGTTCCACTCATTCCTATGGAGTGAAGAGCTACTATGTACCACGTGGGAGCCTTAGCTCTGGAAAACTGCGCTTGCCTCTTGGAGTATTTTACAGAGGCAAATTGAAGGAGTGTAGTGCATGGTAACAGAGGCAGTGGACTGCTCGGCACATTGTGACTGGGGTCCAGAAAGAGGAGTAGGTAGTTTGTCTGGGACGTTGATTGAGAATATGGGACAGAAGTCGAGTGGCCCTGAGTCTTGGACTTTATCTATGATATCAACTGAGTAGTTGGTTACAGCATCTGATTGGTGAGGAACCTATTACTTGCATCAGGTACTTTTGGGCTTATGGAGCACTTCTATATCCTTTATCTCAGAAAGTCAAATGTAAATATAAAGAGGCTAATGGGCTGGAGAAGTTGCTATATTAGATAATTTGAAACCACAGTGAAAACAGTCCATTCATAAGAAGTCAATTAAAGGGGCTTTGTTGGAGCCCAGTAGAGACTGGTGGGTCCCATTAGGACCCCTCATATGGACCAGGCAAGATGAGGGTCTTGGGGCCTCACTGCCCAGGGTCTTTCTGACTACCAGCCTCCATGCTTTCTGAACTGTGACTTGGGGTAGGCACAGACCACAGTGTCACTGAGTCTCCTCAGAGCTCAGTGTGGCTGTGTGAAACCAGGAGGAAGGACCACCCCAGGTTCAGCAGCATGGCTGAGCAAACAGGTAAGGTGGCAGGGCCATTGCCAAAGACCTCCCTACTTTGGGGATGTTCAGAGTGTGACAGCAGGACATAGCCCTCTGACAGCATTCATTGATCACTGCAACCATAAGCTGTCCTCAGCTCAGAGTCATGAAGGAGCGGGTGGGACATGAACCAGCTTTCCTGTCTGGATGGTGAAGTCAAGTCACCAGGAGCATCTAATGCACAGGAAGGCTCTCGGCTGGCCGGTCTAGGGACAGCTGAGCAATGTAAAGGACTGGAAGAGGGTGTGTGTGTATTTGGTGAGAATTCAAACAAGCACCTAACAGTAGTATGATTAACCTGAAAGGAATCAGAGTCCAAAATGGCTAAGATGTCTAGTTCAGTCTCTCAGCTGTGGTCTGAAGAAAGAGGCATCTTCATCGTTTCAGACAGTAAGCATGCTGGAAGGGCAGCCAAGAACAGTCGTGAAGGTTTTAGAACACCCACTGTTACTTCCAAAGGGAAACAACTTGAATCTGGAGAAACACATGCATCAGTTGTAGGGTTTTCCCAACAGACTTGGATCTGCTGACTGCACTGTGGTACTTCAAGAATGAAGACATTTTTATTCAAACGCATAATCCTCAGTCCTCAGCACTTGGTACTTGCATGCCCCCAGTGCATTATCTTCTCCCCCCCTCCCTGCGCCCCGTGTGTCTAAGACCCAAAGGCAGAAATATCTCCTCTCAGTTACTCTTCCTCTGGATTCTGGAGAGCAGGAATTTGGTCATTTTTCCATAATTTTCCATTAATGATATTGTTTTATCAGATTAAGTTGTACGTGAAAATGTAATGGCTACTAAAGACTTTGGAGCTCACAACTATGCACATTTTATAATATAAAACAAAAGGTCAGAAGCAGACAGAGAACCCATCTTTTCTTGACTGAGAGTGTTCCAAGGGGGCATGGCAGTCACCCACAGTGCATCCCTTGGGCATCTGGACTCCAGAGCCTAGGCCACTACACATTTTTGTTTGTTTGTTTGTTTTTGTTTTTTGTTTTGTTTTGTTTTAATGTTTTTTTTTTAAACTAAACTTGAGCTTGTGTGAACATGTACAGGACACCCACCAAACAGTTTTTACTATGACCTCTGCTCAGGCCTGGTGGAACTTACCCCTTTAAGGACATGACTCCTCCCCCTTGATCACAGGAATATCAAATAGAATATACACCAACCTAGAGACAGCACAAGGCGGCACTCCCACGACACTGTAGGTGGAATAATAAATAATGGGTTTGGCATTGGCAGCTTCAGCAGCTGCGGGGTGAGGCACTTGGCTTTCTGTTAAGTAGAGGCAGGGGTGTAAAAATAGACATTGGCATTTCTTGGAAGCTGAGGCATGTTGAAGTTTCACCAATTTAGAAGGTTCACTAAATGCTATCAGTTAAAATTCCTGCCTCACTGTTGAATAAATTATTCACAATACTGCACAGGAGAGCAGGGCTTTACAAAATGTTTGTGGTGGGCAAATGTTGGAAATTGTAGTGTTCAAACTGATAAAGATTTTTAGAAAGAGTTTCACTTTGTGAGTGCTGAGGAAATAGTCACTCTGGTTCCATCACCAACCATCTTACGCAGAGAATGTCACTATTCTAAAAATGTATCCTTCCCTTGATGCACTTGCTAGCATTTTTTTTTTTACCACAACCTCTTTTAGTATATACTCTAAAATTAAAAAAAATATTAAGTAATTAAAAGGGGTAGTGCCACACAGACACAATTATGCAAATAGCTACACATGAATGAGTAAACAAAACCATGGGTATCACTACATAAGTAAGTGAACATTCATCAACATTAATTACTTTTTAAAGCCCTCAAATTCTACTGAATATTAAAGTTGCTAATTTTTACTCCTTCCAAACTCTCCTTCTGAATCCAGGTGGCACTGTTTTATCTATCTATCTATCTATCTATCTATCTATCTATCTATCTATCTATCTATCTATCTATCTATCTGTGTATCTATCTATCTATCTATCTATCTATCTATCTATCTATCTATGTATCTGTGTATCTATCTATCTATCTATCTATCTATCTATCTAACTATCTATCTATCTATCTATCTATCTATCTATCTATCTATCTATCTATCTAAGGCTGTTGGCTGTGTTTGCTTGATGTGTGTGACTCTTGACTTAAACGGAGTCCCCTGGATCTCTCTGTTCTGCCGTGAGCTCTGTGACACTTTCACACCCCTTCACCAACAGTAAGTTGTCTCTCAAGAATGTGACGTGCTTCTACCCCTTAAGCTGAAATGGTATAAGGTATTTGTTGATCTCTGAAAACTGAGTACTGTAATTCCCTTCCTCTCCCATCCCAGTGTCCCTATAGCTTCAGGAAAGTTTCTGTTAGGGGAGCTTGGGTGGAAGAGCACATTTCAGAGTGGCACGGCTGTCCTTAGAGACTGATGAAGACTCCCTGTTACAAAGCTTCTCCATCCTGGCTGCTTACGATGGGTCTAAACATCATCCCTGAAGCCCCTCAGTGAAGACTCCTCAAGCTCACAAACATCCCTCCCTCACTCACAGCAAGTTAATTTACCTGGTAGGGTCATTCCCCCACCCCCACCCACCTGCATGCACATCCCACCACCAAACCCCGAAATTAAAATAATATCATGGGTGACTCCAACCCACAGGGGAAGGAATGGGCAGAATGCAGGGCCTAACACCTAAGAGGCTGGGAGCCTTTGGTATACCATGTTGTTAACCCTTTTCTGTTGCAGAAAAATCCGCACTACACTGACGTTCTGGCTGGTGGGCAACCTCTGAGAATGAGGATGCTTTCTAATGATTATGATATCCAATAGCCCACAGCAAAGTTAAACACACCGTAATTGAAAAGACTCCAGCATGCTTAGGTTAAAATGAGCAAGGTCCGTAGTTGTGTGAACTCATGGTCAAACGCATTATTGGTATTCTGTAAATTTTAAGAATAGTTTCAAAGCTATGGTTACACATCCACATGCACCTCACATAAAACAGTTTTAATACATTATCATCAGTTTAAAGTCTTAAAAACAGTATTTTTAAGAGAAAATTAAGTATACTTAGGTTGGGAAAAGTTGGTTACACATAATGTTTATGATATTGCATTGGTTTCATCTATAATTGCATATCTATTTTTCATAAGTAGCTACAATAAAATAAAATATATGTTAACAAATGTGCATATACGTTTTTATTTTTCTAGTAGTAGTTTATTCATAAATAATTTTAAAAAAAGGTTTCCACTAATCCAAGTCATTGATGATTAAAATACTAGCTTTTGGCTTTAAAAAAACCCATGCACTTCGCTTAAATTAAATATTCAACGAATAATGACTTTAGCTGTAAAAATTTAATACTTCTATCCTGGGACGAATTTAAAATGTGTTTCGGTATTTCAGACGGCCAGTGCAGGTTGCCTTTCCTTTGCGAATCTTTACTAGGGTTCAGCGCTGTGAGGGTGAGGGTGTGGGTGTGAGGAGCGCAATGGTTTCAGCCGCAGAAGGGGCCATACCTCTGCTTCTGCTTCTGGAATTCTGGCTCGCGGCAGTGCGTGATTGGGGACCCAGAGAAGGGTTCCCGAGCGCCAGCATCCCTCGGTAGCTGCTTTCAGTGCTAATTAAGGATGCGGTTGCTATTGTTATCTTCACTCACAGCTTCGACACAGGTTTCTGCCTGAAGCGGCCAAGGGGTCGGGTTCTGAATGTTGAATTCCCCCCCCAAATCGGTTTCAGTGCCGTTTTAGCAACAACCGTGCATTGGAGATTTTTTCAGCCTACTGTGTTCGCTCAGGACAACGCTGGCGTGGTCCGGACTCTCACAGCCAGGCCTGCGGAAGGCGATGCTCTCGGGCCGCTCAGCACTCAGTCTGCATTCTCAGGATGCGCTGTGGTGGCCAAGGACGGTGGTGCACACACAAGCCGGCATGCGGTGGTTTCTGCCTTTTAGAACCTCTGGTTTCTGTGAGAAATCCGACCTGCCTGGAGGGCAGCCGGAACCTCCTGTTAGGATTTCTACCACGAGGTGGCAGCATTGCTCCGAAATGTGCAGCTGGCATGCGGGGAGTGTGGCCAGGTGTCCAAGTGTGTTTCTAGGGTGATGACTTCAGAATCCGAGCGCGGAACGCGTGGCCCACTACAGAGCAAGCACGATTTTAAGTATGATCCTCCTTAGGAGCCCTGTCGCTAGTTAACAATGTAGGTATGAATCACCAGCTACAAAAATCCAGGAAAATTACAGTTGTACAATATTCGCCTAAAATCCCATATTAACCTTGATGTTCCAGATAGCCCAGTAGCCGCTGGAACAGAGCAAATAGGATGACACCGTCTTCATGATTTGGTTCACTGATCTCCCAGGTAGTGTGAGTGTCGTGAGTTTCTGCAGCTGTGGTTTTGAAACCCCCAATCTGGATTTTGCTGTTTTACAGGAATAGTATATATTGCTTGAAAAAATAGTCGCAGGCAAAAAAAAAAAAAAAAAAAAAAAAAAAAAGAAAAAGACAATTCAGGTTCATAAAAATCTATGGATATACCTTCTACAAATAAAAGAATTAGAGGTATGTTTGCGTGCGGGGGTTGGGGGGGACTGGTCCGAGGTAAAGCTCTTTCCTTACTGAAATACACATATTAGATGTTTGCTTCATTGAGTAGCATACATGCTTCAGACACAAGTGTGAGAAAGATCATGTAGTCACACTATGCTCCCCAGTGCCTTATTAATCTAAGATATTTTGACTCTGAAAATTCACTTCCAAGTTTCAATTTTCAATTGACACCCAGGCATTTATTTGAAACCCCAAAGTTGCTCAGTATCAATAGCAAAATCTAAGTGCCCAGATTTTTTTTTTTCACCTAAAGAGATCTCAGAAGATGATGAGGCAGTGGCCTAGGAGTCATGCCAGCAGGGGACAAAGGACCTTTTGTTTCAAGACAGGGACCTGCCCTGCCCAGGTGCATGTGGGGAAGGTGGTGGCAACTGGTGGGCAGCTCCTTGGGGACTCTACCTGCGACAGGTGCTTCACTTTTCCTGTCCTTTCTGCACACACAGGCATACCTGCCAGTTGATTAATAAAAGGAGACCAAAGACAGAAACCAACTAGTCTCTCAAGCGATGCTTTGCTTGGCGCCACCTGAAGTCTAGGCAAAGGCTCACCCCCCAGTTCTGCTCTCTTGAACATCTTTGTCACTGAGGCAGTGACCAGTGACCTCTTCTTAAATGATTCTCAGCATTGGGCTTGCTGTTGCATAAAAGGCAGTGTTGGGCACCATTGTTTGATCAGATAAAATTGCAAGGGAATAAGGTTGGAAAATTCACAATAAATTGTGGTTCTGTAGAGTGTTTCCATGTTTTATATAGCAATGATCCACAGTATAAAGATGATCTGAAGAAAATTTTTAAATAATTTGAATCAGTTTCTGCTATTAAGAAATACTTTTAGAGCCATGGATGGAGTTCAGTTATAGAGCACTTGTCTAGAATATATAAAGCCCTGGGTTTGAGCCTCAGAACTAGCAACAGAGCAATAAAACAGAGAGAGAGAGAGAGAGAGAGAGAGAGAGAGAGAGAGAGAGAGAGAGAGAGAGAGAGAGAGAGAAAGAGAGAGACGCTCAAATCATAGATCCATTTACTGGGATTCAGTGGAGAACTGCAATACTGATGGTAACTTAAGATGGATTCTTCACATCTGCCTGACGAAGTTGACTCTAACACTGGGTCCATAGCAGTATGCACAGGAATCTGAGCGAAGGTGGAAGCCAGCATGACTTTGTATGTTTTTCTCTACCTGATCCAAGCCTGGCCCACACCAAAGCACTCATAAACACACTTGAAGTCTCAGCACTTGGGAGCGGGGAGACGGGAGGATCAGGAGTTCAAGGTCAATCATTTAAGGCTGCAGAACAACTTTGAGGCCAACCCTGGGTTACTGGAGACATTGTCATTAAAGACCAGGACAGAAAAAAAGGGGAAGGGGAGGGGTAGGAGGGGAGGGGAAATAAAATTCCTGACCTTATAAGCTATGCATTTGGGCCAGAGGTGGCCCCGGGCTGAGCATTCTCATGGAGCTTCAGGATTTGCGTACCTGGTCAGGATGACTCTATACTGGGTGTTCTTATGGAGGAAAACGTTGCTTGGAGTCCTTTTGTTCATGTTTCTACCACTCTCTGCTTCCCCATCTTTGATTGCCACATAAGTATTCGTCAGTTTTTATACAAAGAAAAAAACGGGCAAGAGATCATATTTATGTATTGAGAATATTAAACTTAATATACTGCATGCAAAACCCATTACAGACACATGAATTCGATTAGAGTTATGAGGACTACCCCCCCCCCCCCATAAACATACTGGTTCATAATTAAATGGGAGAAGTGGCTTTTTGAGTTTATATTTGTACATATATACATATATATATACATATATATGTCCATATGTGCAATATATCATGTACATACATTGCATACATTATGTGCAATATGCACACATCATATATATGGTGCACTGATAATCTAAATAAGAAGAAGAACAGTAACCTGAGACATGGAATATTTGGAGAAAGACCCTGGAAGTTAATTTGATTCATGTGTTCACTGAGCCTGTCTTGCACATCTACTCTTTTCAGGTCTTTGTGTAAGAAGTTAAGGATAAAATATAAAGTAAAAATGGTCCCTGGATGCTTGAAGCACAGGCTTAGATAAACAATACCCAAATCATTATACAAATAATGCTAAGATTATGGTTTTGATCTGCACTAAACCTACCAAATCATAGCATATCAGAGATGAAAACAGCTAAACTTTCTTTCTCTGCTGTTGGCTAGTTCTCTGTTGTTTGGTTGCTGTTTTGTGTGTTTGCACAGAGTCTTACTCTCCAGCCTGTGCTGACCCGTGACTAGTCACTATGTGGCCCACATCGACCTGGAGCACTAGAAATTCTCCTTCCTCGGTTTCTCAAGTTTTGGGAGTACAGGAGTGAGATGAATATCTGGCTGTCAATTATCTTTCTGAATGATTTCTTCTAAAATTTCACGGGGATGTCCTGGAATGAGCCCAGGGTAAAGGCAGGCATACTTGAGAAGCCGCAGCACGGTCTGATTCTGCAAACAACATGGGGTCAGGATTAGATTCCAGTGTTCTAGTCTATAAAGCTAATATCTCAACTTACCAAATGTTGGGGGAGTAGAGAATAACAGGCAGTACTCTTTTATCTGGGTGTCTGACATTTTCTTGTAAAGATCACTTATCTAGAGGCTGGCGAGGTGGCTCAGATGGTAAAGGTGCTTGCTGCCAAACTTGAGGACCTGAGTTCAATTCCTGGAACCTTCAATGTGGAAGTAACGAACCAACTCCAAAACTTGTTTCCTGACCTCTACATGTGCATTGTGGCACATACATATTCACACGCATACACACATCATGCACACCCAAAATAAATAAACATAATAATGATATTTTTAAAAGACTGTAAAAAATGATCTCTTCTATAGAAAATAAGCAATCGCGTTTTTTATTGAGTCTACACACACTCTTTCCTGTTGCCTGATTCAACCCTTTTCTTTCCATTTTGTCTTTTACTTTCTTCCTTTCCATCTGTGTTGACCAGAGTGATGATGCTGCACAGAGGTGGGGTACTCAGAGACACAATCTTACAGGGTACTTAGCATTAAAATCATGCTGTCCCAAGTTCTGAGTGATTTTCGTCTTCCTTGACATTCCAAGCTCTCTTTTGAGGGTGATTTTTTTTGGTGCCCGCATTGTTCCTCATGTCCAGTTCCTTAATTGCATGACCATCAGGAAGGTGATATACAGTATATTTAAAGATCTCGCCTTGCTGTAAATCTCAGGTCTAGTGACGTGGTTTATAAGGCAAATTACAATCTGATTGGACCCCTTTAAAGCAATTAAGATTGCTCTTTTTGTTGACTCTTTTGGCCACAGTAGGCAATTATTAAAAGAAAAAAAACTATACAGACATTACTTTTGATTAGATAAAAGTAAAGAATGATGAAATAAAGGATCTTTAAGATGAACCAACCACATCTCTTTCTATGATGCAGCATGGGAACTAAAGAGCCCATCGGTGAGTCCTGTTCTATGCATCTTGCACTCTACAAATAATAGGGAGGAAAATTAAAGAGTGTCCTGCCCTTGACAGAGTGTGGTTTCCTGGGGCTGAGCAATCTCTCCCCGTCTACTCCAGTCAGCCTGGCTATTTTACAGCCCACATCCATCTGTGTTTTTTCCCCCATCACCCAGCCTCCCTGTTACTTCATGCTAGATAATACTGATTTTTCCTGAAGTCTCCGATCTCAAAAGCAACTTTTCGGCCCCTGCAACCGCTGGGATTTGTTCTTGTCCAGATGACACTCTGCGGGCGAGAGATCATCACAGAATGGGTGTGGCGCTTAGCGCTGCTGACAATTGCTGCAGGTGATCCTTGCATTTAGCTGTTGGACTAATGCAAAGAACCCACCCATTTCTTCCAGCTCTCTCTGTCACAGTTCCCCCAGCCAGCATGACTTTCCTGGTGTGTGGCCAACACAACCCCTCAAGTCCAGGCTCCTCTCAGATGCACCCTAGGTCCTTGCTGCCTGCATTGTCCTGAACTCTTTTCCTACACTTTGGCCTTTCTGGGCTATGCATATTTTAAAGGCCCCTACAGTTCCATTGTTAGTTTATGTCATTTCGGGGTGGGGGGTGGGGGGAGCGCTTCCCTCTGTGCTGCTACCTACCTGGAAAAGCATCGGTTTTATGAATTTCCCATTGCCCAATTTTGAGACAGATTAATTTCATTTAAAAAAATGTTTACTACTTCTTGAAAAATTATGAGTCATACACAATTTTTGTTGATGGGTCTTTTAAAACCAACTTATTCACTTTGGCAGACAGAATTTATCAAGGAGGTTTTGCAGTAGCTTTCAGTATTCTGGGAATTATAACAGGAAAGTTGGTATTTTTCTTATTCTGCTATATTCAGTAGGAAGAG